ATATATATATATATATATATATATATATATATATATATATATTGTTCAAATATCGCAATGGAAGTAATTTACTAATTATCTATGTATTCCACATTCTCAGCACCTTGCTCGTTCTCGACCTGTCATGAAATCAACGGTACCTGTGTTGCATCTGACACCAAAGGCACCGAGTGCCTATGTGTTCCTGTAGAGCGTTGTCCACGTGGACGAGATCCCGTATGTGGAGATGACGGAACAACATATGATAGCCAATGCCATCTCGAGGCCACATCATGTGACACCAAGACACCAATCAAAAAGCGTGCCAATGGTCCTTGTGGTAAGTGGTACTTTGTCTTTGGTATGATAAAAGAGATTTTTAAAAATGGAAATCGAAATTATAAATGTAGATTTTATTTGGGGAAGGTTATAATTGACGTGAACGTAATTTAACATAAATGAAATGGTGATACTCTTTGATTATTGTCTATCCCCAGTATAGACAATTCTACATTTTTCGTCCGAGTACATCAAAGGTAGATTTTCAGCGCCTTGTATTTTTGAAACCATGTGTTTGGTCTGGTCGCGTGCAATTGAGCTTACAGGGTCGTTAGCAAGAAAAACCGATATCCACCAAATGTACCAACTATTGCGTGTAATCAAAAAGAAGTGTTATCCAGGTTTGTAATCATGAAATATTTTTTTCACAGACTCGTGTGCCAAGAAGAAATGTCTGTACAATGCCAACTGTCGCGTCATCTCTGGTGGAGCAACTGAGTGTGTTTGCCCGACGGTTTGTCCTCGTGTCTTTAAACCAGTGTGTGGAAGCAATGGTGTGACCTATGACAACGAGTGTATGGCAAGAATAGACTCTTGTCAAAAACAGGTTCATCTCGACTGGAAACCTGGACGATGTGGTAAGAATACAATTGACCAGTTGCAAATTACCGCTGTGTTCCTTGATTACAGACTCATTTACTCAGGCTTAGCCTTGTATCAGTGTTTAAATATTCACAAATACCAACAGTAAAGTTAAGAATGCACAACTTCAACGATACAAACACTTTGAAATTCTACGGATCTTGACTAGAACACGTGAATATTCTACACAAAATCGAGGCTAAATGAGCCTGTAATCAAGAAACACAGCGGTAATTGGGAACTCGAAACTGGTCTATTGAAGAAAAAACAAGAATGTGTGAAACAGAACAACACTCAACCCAAGTTTTGATCTTAGTTGTCGATTAAAACAGAGAAACAGAAGAAAAACTATTTTAGGTTGCAAGAGGTCTTCCAATTTGATAGAACTCTGAAACAACCTCTGGGCAAATCAAAGTAAGGGCACTGCTAACTCACAGATCGAAATGGGAGCTTATGAGGTTTTGAAAATGGGGGAAAACCAGAAAACCGAAGAACAGCTTCTTTTCTACCACTACCACTACCGTCATCCTCCATGATCCCCATGTCATGTAAGCCTAGTTTCTTTCCATGTGGGAATGAATAAACCTTTGAACTTTCTTTTTCCGCAGGTGTTGTAACAGCTCCCTGCTCGGTGCGCAAGTGTCGCTTCTACTCCAAGTGTTTGTTCACTGGCCGTTMTCTTGAATGTCGGTGTCCCGAAGAGAGTGATTGCTCAAAGCGAGCAGGACCTGTCTGCGGGCTTGACGGAAAGATAAAGAAGACCTACGCAAGTCAATGTATGATGGAAGTGGAAAGCTGCTCGATGGCAAAGAATATTAAACTTGTTTCATTTGGACCATGTGGTGAGTGCCTTTAGTCACTTCTGGAGTAAGACCTCGTATAGGACTTCGTGTTCTCTTGCTCCCCTCCTATGGCGTTAAGCCCAAATGGCGTAAATAAATAAATGAATAAAATGAAATTGAAAATCATTTATCATTTCGGCCTTATTTGATGAAAGGCAAGTGTAGGCACCGTGAGACCAAGGTGCAGAATTCTACTCCAGGGTGGCAGAAGAGCATTTGAATTACGATCTCGTTAAATATCACATTCAATTTGTAATACAGTATAGGCATTTTTAGACAACATTATTTTTGTCTAATTACTTACCTTTGTACGACAAAAAAATTTTTTGTACGCGGAACGTTAATACCAGCAACATTCATCCTGCCATTCCAACCCAGCAGTGCTGCAGGAAACGTTACAGGAATTTTTTGCCCGTTCCACAATTGTTCAACCATTTAAGGTAACTAACGTATAACCTCGATGTTTTCACAGCTGCTTGTACCAGTGTGACTTGCAGATATTATGGTAAATGTGAAATTACGAAAGATGAACGTACTACATGTATCTGCCCTAAAGAAGAATCGTGCTCTCGTGGCGTCGATATGGTGTGTGGTACAGATGGACGTTCATACCTGAATGAGTGTATCATGAAAGCCAAGGCCTGCAAGAGACAGCAGGACATCAGAGTAGACAGACAAGGATACTGCCGTGAGTAACTTTAATATTTCTATCTCATCTATGAGCTTAATTTTTTAATGAACTTTAATGATCTTTTGCGATACCAATTTGGTGCCAGGGCTTTCGACGTTAGGCATACTACCTAAAGAAGAATTCTTAATAGGTTAATATTATGTGATATTTATCTCAGATATCTGTGACTTCGTCAAATGCCTTGGTCACACCCACTGTTAGCATTAACCTAATTTGTTAGGGCTTTCGACCTTAGATATATTGTAACTGAAGGAGAAACCCTAATATATTAATATTATTTGATATTCATCTCAGAAATCTGTAACGTTGTCAAATGCCCTGGCCACACCCACTGTTTCCCTAAACCCGGTGGAGAGTACGAATGTCGCTGTCCCAGGGAAAATGAATGCCCGTCAGGTGGAACTAAGGCATGCGGTAGTGATGGAGTGACGTACAAAAACAAGTGTTCACTGAAGGCTGAGGCTTGTCGACAGCAGAGGATAGGAATTGCTACACCGGTGAAGCTTGTCAGGGATGGGGATTGTGGTAAGGACGTCCATAACCTTTTTTTACAGAAAAAATAGTAGATCTATGCTTCAAATCCTAACACTGGCTCATTCACTCATATCACTCGTTGATTCCATAAACACAGGTTCCTTCAATTCTCTGTTTGCACGTTACGTCATCACCGCCATATTGGTGGTAATTAATAAAATACTTTTTTATTAGCTTCGTTTGTTGTTACAACCTACATTGCGGTCACGTCTTTGTCTTTTGGCTCTTTCGATAATGCTTAGAAACCATCACAATTAGGTTTACTTATTATTGCTAAGTTCTAGTGTTGGTATCAACAATACAATATRAGGGATAAAATTACAGCAAAATGCACCAATCGAGTTTAAAAGGTCCTCCAATGCTCTAATTTCGTTTTCAAATTTGTCCAAAGCGTCTTGATCCTATTGTAAAATTTGCAAATTTGCTTTCAAACTAACCGGACAAATGTGCTTGAGAAACGTGCTAAAATTCACGCAGATGTAGACGTTTTCCCCTAGTGTCGAATGCACTTCGTTACCTACATTAAACGGACTAAGTTGTCCTGAATTGCAGTAGTTCGATACCATTCGTTTTCTTCCTTCATTTCCAGGAAGCTGCGATGATGTCCGTTGCCAAGACAACAAAGTTTGCAAGTTGAAATTTGGTCGAGTCACTTGTGAATGCCCGGATACAAGCTACTGTGACAAGAAACCTGACCCAGTGTGTGGAACAGATGGACAGGAATACTCTAATGAGTGTCTGCTGAAAGTTGTTGCTTGTAAGAAGAAAAATGGACTCAAGGTTGCTAACAAGGGAAAATGCGGTAAGATTTGCAAGACTGTTTACGATGTGCAACGGAGAAATCGTTGCCAAGGTAGAAACAATTCTACTTTTTTACAACGATTGCTGCAACCTGTCTCGCAACATTTTTTTTTTTTTCAAATTGCGCTGTAGGTTACACGCTGCAATGCTCCATGCAACTTGTGTCGTAAGGCCGTTGCGAGACAAGTTGCAGAAAAAATTGCTCCGTATTATCGCTCTTTTACTCAGTGTTATCCTCCTTTRTATTTTGAGAAATCTTGACTGGAGTATTAAAGAGGTCATAAGAAGAATTAGTAATTCATAAATTTTCATTAATTTATTTTAATGATAAATTCTTTATTTGCAGGTGGTGGATGCAGCCTTCACAAGTGTCGAACATACGCCACATGTTACGAAGCACCAGATGGCTCACCGATATGTGTCTGTCCAAAGAAGAACGACTGCCCGTCCCTGATCCAACCCATATGTGGCAATGATGGAAAAACCTACCTTAGTGAATGCTTTATGAAGGCCATTGCGTGCCATAAGAAGTTGGGYACTAGGAAAGTGAAGGATGGACATTGTGGTGAGTAGATGATAATATAGGTTGTACATGTATTCCGGGCCCAACTGCTCACAAACACCTCTAGAATAAAGTGAATTATCATATGACCCGTATCTACCCGGCGCGCGCTCTTAAAAAAACCTTCGGGAAAATGGTGTGAGGAGGGCCGTACGGATTCGTACGGATTCTGCTGGAAGCCTGCGACCGTTTTCTTTTTTTTTTTTTTTTTCGTGAGGGTCATATGATAAAATGCTTATTGACTGAGTTAGGTCGGGCTGTACATGAAACTATTTGGCTCTCGGTCACTCGTACGGCATCACCTCGAGCCAAATACTTTCCCGTACGGCCCTCCCACTCAGTCAATAAGTACATATTATCATATGACCCGTACGGCCCTGCTCGCGCGCTCTAATAAAACCATTTGAAAAAGTCACGTGATGGGGGCCGGACGGGTTGACGTAAGCGGGCCGGAAAAACCCGTCCGGCCCTGCTCGAATCCGCGCGCTTTCTCTTTTTTATCTTTTATTTACTATTTCTTTCTTTCTTTTATTTTTTTATTGATTTTTTCGTGAGGGTCATATGATAAAATGCTTATTGACTGAGTTAGGTCGGGCCGTACGGGAAAATATTTGGCTCTCGGTCATTTGTACGGACCTCGCTGTGCTCGGTCCGTACGACATGACCTCGAGCCAAATATTTTCCCGTACGGCTCTCCCACTCAGTCAATAAGTACATAAAATGTTCTCAATGATTTAATCTGAACATTGGACAACAAATCCTGTAACGAGGAAAAGAGAAATCTTTATAGGATTGGTTTTCGTTTTAGAACCGGAAGTCATTTTTCGTTTTTCGTTGACGGCACATTTTTAAGCTTCGTAATCCAGTACTCCGGGATTTTATTTCACGCCATTTTGTCTGTTGCGAAATGTTTATCAGCTGAATCGCAAGTTACTAACAGGATTCTTTCTGCTTGACAGCACATGGTGGTCAGTGTTTGACCAGCAATTTGGAGCAAATAATGAGATTCAAATGCTTTTATCAGCTGATTGAAAACCATATACCTGGCCTCCTGTATCGCGTAATCGATAGAAAACGTTCATTTTGATACGAAAGAAAAGGAAGTAAAATATCTATAGACCCCTTGCAGCACGTTGGAATGCCGCTCAATTTGGAGGACATAGCAAAAGGTTTCCAATTCTGTGGAGATTGAAATTCATTTGTTTTGTCCTCCAAATTGAGCTGCTTTGACGTCACTTATAAGGGGTCTACATACCACCAGAACTATTTTTTCTCTTCAGATCCATGTAAGTTGGTGACGTGTCAGTACTACGGCAAATGTGAAGCCTTATCTGCTGGTGGAACACGATGTGTTTGTCCTCGTTTGTTGGATTGTTCAACCAAAGTCGACAGAGTTTGTGGATCCAATGTTAAGTCGTACCAGAGCGAGTGTCATCTCAGGGTTGATTCATGCACCACGAAGAAGAAAATAAGAGTGCTTCACAAGGGCTATTGTGGTAGGTGAAATAAAGCATGAACCAATTATTCGAAATATTAGCCTGACTTAGATCTTCATGATGAAATTGTATATACAACCAGACCACCCTTAAGCCCTTTCATCCAACCATCGGTCTGCCTGCCCACCAACCAACTGATCCAAATCTTATCGCTACACTGAAACAACCTCTAGACTGATCTAAGTCAGGGCACGGCTAACTCACAGATTGAACACTGAAACAACTCTGGGCTGAAAACCCTCGAATCAAGGGAGAGACAGCTTTTCTGCACTGAGACAAATTCTGCTCACATGTGATGTTAAGTCCAGGAATTGGACCCGAGTCCCCAGAAGTGAAAGACGAGTGAGCTACCGATACGCCACCATTTCGTCCGCCCATATATCCATCCATCCATCTATCCACTTTTCATTTTTTTCCTTTAATCGTTTCTTTTGACCTGTCTACCCATACACCGACGGTAGCAAGTACTAACTATTTCTTATTTTCTTACCCTTTTTTCTTTTTCAAGATCCTTGCTCAACACACAAGTGCGATAAATACCACGAATGCCAAGTCATTAACAACAAGCCGGTTTGTCGGTGTCCCCTCTGTACAAAGCCCGGTAGCCAGGTCTGTGGTAGCGACAAGAAACAGTACACAAGTGAATGTATGCTGAGACTGGAGGCATGTACCACGCAAACATCATTGTACGTGCTGAAGAAGGGAGCCTGTGGTAAGCAAAGGATTTGAACTTGTTTGGATTGTAATCGCCTTATACACCTATATTAATCTAAAACGTAGGCAATAGGCGAAAAGCAATAGGAAATAGGTCATTCCAAGATCCAAGAATAGCTGGAATGACTTGTGTTTCT